ATATAAATTAGCCAGTGTGGTGGAGCATGCTTGTAATTCCAGCTACTCAGGAGGCGGAAGCAGGAGACTCACTTGAGCCCAGGAGGCAGAGGCTGCAGTGAACAGAGATTGTGTCACTGCACTCCAGCCTGGGCGACAGAGCAGGACTCCATCTCAAAAAATAAAATAAAAAAATTGTCTGTTCAAGGCAAAACAGGGTTTTCTAGCTTGTACTTCAAAACCCTTCCTGCCTCTACCCATTACCTAATTCCCAAGATTCTTCCACGTTGTAGGTATTTGTTAGAGTAGCACCCCAAATTATTGGTGCCAATTTTCTGTCTTAATCCATTTGGGCTGCTATAACCGAATACTGCAGACTGGGGACTCGTAAACAGCAAATGTATGTCTTACAGTTCTGGAGGCCGGGAAGTCCCGAGCTGATACCAGCATGGTCAGGTTCTGGTGAGGGCCCACTTTCTCGCTCCACAGATGGCCATCATTTCATTGTGTTCTCACATGGTGGAAGGGGCAGGGCCACTCTCTGAGGCCTCCTTGATAAAGGCACCAATCCATTGATGAGGGATTTGCCCTTCTAACCTGATCATCTCCCTAATGTCCGACCTCTTAATGCCAGCAACTTGGGGGCTAGCATTTCAACATGTGAAATTTGTGGAGAGGAGAACACAAAAACATTTAGACCACAGCATTAGGGAAGTGGGGATGGAAGCTGGGGCTGAAGGAAGAGCCCACAGCAACATGTACAGATAGGAGGAGGAGAAAGGAGACAGACTACACCAGGTACAGGCTCCAGGGAACACACTGCTTTGTAATTTCTGCTCTTGGATCCACCTCACCCCTATCTTGTTAGGCAGAATCCAAATGGTAGCTGCCTCACTGGGTGGCCACGGATGTGGAAAAACAGGCCTTCCTACTCAGTGCTGGGGCAGCTGCACATCCTCTCCCATGGTGGGCTGCTGGGCAATGTCCATGAAGTTACCAACATGCTCAACCTTCAATGCAGAGATTCTAAAGTTTATTTTGCACATGTGCAACATGAAGTCTATAAAAGCTGCTTCACTGCAGCATTGATACAATAAACACTAAAAACCTTTACACACATCAACAAGATAGCTGATTAAGTAAGCTACAGAACACCTCACCAGGGATGATCCTACATGCATTAGAAAGAATGAAGGCCTCTCTGTACCGAGAAGCAATTCTCTTCAAAGTGTGTTGTTGCTGGAAAACACCTGTGCGTAGCGGAATCCAGATTGCCACCAAGCGCAGGGTGTCTGGGAGGTCAGGTTAGCTGCTTCTGAAGAGGGACATGGACTCTGGGGTTAGGTGTGGCAGGGAGATATTTTTCATATACTTTGAATCATGGACCATGTGGATGTGTCAAAAAACTAATTTATATTTTTATCTTTATCTTCTTTTAGACAGGGTCTCGTGCTGTCGCCCAGGCTGGACTGCAGTGGCACAATCACAGCTCACTGCAGCCTCAATCTCCTGGGCTCAAGCAATCCTCCTGCTCAGCCTCCCAAGTAGCTGGGACTACATGTGTGAGCCACCATGTCTGGCTAATTTTTTATTTTTTGTAGAGACTGGGTCTTGCTGTTACCCAAGCTGGTCTCAAACTCCTGGGCTCAAGCACTTCTCCAACCTCAGCCTCCCGCAGCGCTGGGATTACCAATTCGAGCCATGGTGTCTGGCCTAATTTTCATTTTTAAAATGATGGTATAGCCATATAATACTAGGGAATCAGGAAAATAAAGCAGTCCTTTAAATAATTGGAAAGGACCACAAAATAAAATTTTTGCAGAAAGAAGAAAAGTAACTCATAGGACTTTTATATTACTAGTATCCATGTGAAAAGCAAAAAAGGAAGAGAATAATTTTTAAAACATATCTTGCAACTGCCTACCTGTCTGGAAAACTACCAGTTACTGTCAGATGGTTTCCCTGGGTGTTGGGGCCAGGCACCCACGACAGGGCTGGGAAGGAATGATTTTCTTTTTTTCTTTTGAGACATGCTCTTGCTCTGTTGCTCAGGCTGAAGTGCAGTGGTACAATCTTGGGTCACTGCAACCTCTATTTTCCAAGTTCAAACAATTTTTGTGCCTCAGTCCCCTGAGTAGCTGAGACTATAGCCATTCACCACCATGACCAGCTACTTTTTTTTTTGTATTTTTAGTAGAGATGGGGTTTCACCACGTTGGCAGGCTGGTTGGGAGCTCCTAAGCTCAAGTGTTTCAACCACCTCGGCCTCCCGAAGTGTTGGGATTACAGGTGTGAGCCTCCACACTCAGCCTTGACTAATCTTTTTTTTTTTTAAAGCAAAAACATAGAGGGCAGAGGGCATTTAAAGTAATCAATTTGGTGAAAAGTAAAAGAATGTTAATATAAAAAATAAACACCTCTGGAATAATTATACATAAATCACACACGTGTCCCAGTGATCAGAGCTGACATGACCCACGCAGGACACACCACTGTCAATGGCTCTAGATGTGCTGCACTGGGAGTGCACAAGCCAGTGTGGTTCTCCTGCAGAATGTGAGCCTGAGTGTCACTGTGAGTCAAACCCCACCTGAGGGAAGGAAGCTATATCACCCATCACAACATCCTACTCTTCAGAACTATCTTCAGAATTATCCACATGAGATAAACAGAACTATCCATGTTTGTCTCATGACAAACATTGAGAATCCAAGGAGGAAGTGTTAGAGATGGGACAACAAAATGAGAAGCAACGCTGCTGGATCATGACTGTTTCAATGTTAAATTTCTACGTGATAATTGTATTGTGGTTATTTAAGAGACTGTCCTTGTGTTCAGGAAATATGCTCCTTTGGCCTGAATAAGGGAGCACAAATGTCTGCATCTAACTGAAGATGTGGGGACAAACAGAATGAGGGGATGGGGGAGGTAAGAAAAAGAGGGAGAGAAGGCCAGGCGTGGCAGCTCACACCTGTAATCCCAGCACTTTGGGAGGCCGAGGCAGGTGGATCACAAGGTGAAGAGATCGAGACCATCCTGACCAACATGGTGAAACCCCGTCTCTACTAAAAATACAAAAAATTAGCCGGACATGGTGGCACATGTCTGTAATCCCAGCTACATGGGAGGCTGAGACAGGAGTCGGAGGTTGCGGTGAGCCGAGAATGTGCCATTGCACTCCAGCCTGTGCAACAAGAGCAAAACTCCATCTAAAAAAAAAAAAAAAAAAAGAGGGAGAGAATGGGGGAAAGTGAAGTAAAGGGTATTTGGAAGTCTCTGTACTATTCTGGCTATATTCCCTAACTTTAAAATTAATTCCAAATAAAAAGTTTAAAATAAAAATAAAAGGCCGGGCGCGGTGGCTCACGCCTGTAATCCCAGCACTTTGGGAGGCCGAGGCGGGTGGATCACGAGGTCAAGAGATCGAGACCATCCTGGTCAACATGGTGAAACCCCATCTCTACTAAAAATAGAAAAAATTCAGCTGGGCATGGTGGTGCGTGCCTGTAATCCCAGCTACTCAGGAGGCTGAGGCAGGAGAATTGCCTGAACCCAGGAGGCAG